TGTAGGGAGCCATGATATCTTAAATAAAGATATAGAAAAAAATTAAAAATCTTGCAATATTGAAAAACCAAGGGGAGATGATGACCATGTCTTCATCTTTTGACTGTGGATTTAGCATCTCAAGCTTTAATTTCTGTCTGTCTTTGTTTTCTATTTTTAGTCAAAGTGAACTGCTGAAATATTTGGACACCCAGTTAAGATTGAACCTTCTAACCTAAGTAAATGTTCTCTGAGGTTAAATTGTACACCTGCCCCCTTCTGCAAGCATATAGTTTTTTTGTGAATACAAAAAAGGAACTTTACCACCAATGACTATCCTGGAAACTCTTTCAAGTCTTAGCTAAAAGCAAACAAAAATCAGGGATGTACTCCAGCTCAGTTTGCTCTTTGGTTTTGCTTATTTTATGGCGTCATATCTAATTCTTAATTCCCATGTCATTGGCATGAAAATTGAGCCAATGCAGACACACTATAAAAATAAATTGTTATGAGTCCTTGGTCGTAGAAACACTACATGTACTGCAGCTATAACAGCAATGGTGTGACTAGGACAATATAGCCTGACTGAGCATATCTCCTTTCAGACTGGTTTTTAAATTCAGAGTTTTTCTTTTCCTAGTGGTTACCACCTCAAGGCAAGAGAGTTCAGTCAGTCCGCTATTTAACCCATATCTAGGGGGAGAGGCGATGTATTCATACTTTCCCCAATGTTAACGAATTCTGCTAGAATTCAAACTCGGTTTGTTAATTTCTCTTTTCGAATCGCTAATCATTTCACTCAGCTCTTATTCCTCAGTTGAACCTAAAAAAAAATAAAATAAAATAAAAATACAAGAAAGATAACTCTTTCTTTAGAATTTCAAAGTTAGGTCCCTTGATATCCATTTAAATTTAAATATTTCTTTTTGTCATATTCTTTCGATGAAGGCTCTCCGTGATTTTGTTTTTTGTAGCTCAAGGCAATGTTTGCTATATTTTTTTTTAACTACCCCTTCCATTCCCTCACCAACTCTCTATTTACACAAGCTTGTTAGGTAAGTGGCTCACTGCTTCCCCCTTGCATTCAATATGTCCTGTGAGTATCAAATTCTCCAAGACTCCTTATTGTGTATCTCAAAAATTTCAACTCTTTCTGACTTGAAACATGTGTCCTTTGTGTTTTAATTTTCCCTAAAACTTCCTCATTGCTCATATGCTCTGTCTATGGCATTCTAAATATTCTTCTCTAGAAGCTTTCTCTGTTGTTTCATCTGTGAAGAAATTGTCCAGCATTCACAGCCATATGAGAGGATTGATATTATATAGTCATTTAACAACCTTTTCTTTGTTTCTAATGAAATTCTTAATACTTTGTTTATCTTATAGGAAGCATCTTTTGCTAATCCAATGCACCTTCAAATTTTGGTGTCACCTCTTCCATCATCTGTTAAAACATTTCCCAGACAATTAAATTATGAGCTTGTCTGATTTTGACATCTCCATTTTGTAGCTTGCATCTTGAACTGTTCCATTTGCTTTTTTGTCTACCAACTCAATTCATTTTCTATTGTCATGCAGGCTGTTTGCTTCTAATATATATTCTGGATTATTCAGATGTCTTTACTAAATGAATCAAGTTTTCCTAGCAGTTCAAATAGATCTTTGTATTGTAACTTATCAGATGCTTTTGCATAGTCTATGTAGCATAGATATACATCCTGCATTTGTATTTCTCTTTAAGATATAATTCTGATTATAAATATTGCATTTCTTGTTCCAGTAACCACACTGTTCTTATCCTATTCCAGTGTAATTCTGCTACATGCTCTATTCATCAGAATCTGGATGATAAGCTTAGTTATGTGGCTTAGTAAGCTGATTGATGGAGCTCACATTCATTTGCACCTGACTTTTTAGCACTACAATGATGAAGTTACTACTGGAACTATGTTGCCACTGTCATATATTTCCTTTATTATGTCTATAATCTTGACAATGTTGAAATCATCTAAGACTGATATCATTTCTATAACAATCACATCTGGTCCTTCTGCTTTGTTCTTGTTTATCTTGTCCAGTGCCAATCTACCCTCAGATTTTAATATTTCAGGTTATTCCATATTTTTTTGTATTGGAAAGAGTTCTCTAATGCATTCATTTCATATATCAATACTGGAAAGAGTGATAACAACTACTGGATTTGAGAAATCCATTTTCCTGAAAAATTCATTTAAGAGAAAGATTTTATTATAAATTTTAACCAAAAGCAATACTGGCTGCTTGGTCAATGAATGCTAAATGTTTCTTTGTAGAAAAACTGTTAAGATTACCATTGAAATTTGTTTTTTCTATTATAAGTGTCTCTCTTTGATGTTATGTATATTGACAATGAGCAGGTCTTTTAATTTATTCTTTCATTCTTTTATGCATACCTGCCTCATTCTTTCTATCTCTGCACACCTTTCAATAATTTCAGTAGAAAAAAAAATAATTAATGAATTTTCACAAATTTGTTTTAATGGTAATTCTATTTGTTGAATAATCTCCAGTTTTAACAAAGTGATAAAATTGGTTTTGGTTTACAGATTATAAATAATGGTGACATTCAAATGCTTCACCTCTCCACTGACAATGCAGTCAAAAGAATCTTGCTGTGAAAAGCAGATATATATATATATATATATATATCTATTTGAGTGGAAGGCATCTTATTTTAGTTTGAAAATAGTGTTTAATATTTTTATATATAAAGTTTTATAGCAGTTTGTGATCTTTCTTTGGCCAATGATTCTCTAGTCTTGTAGTAGGATGTAGAAACTATACCTCAATTCACTTTGGTTATGGTTGAGAAATTTTGTTTATGCAGAATAAAGAGTTCAAACAACTGATGAAGTTTTCTTCTGTAATTGTCAGCATTAAGCAAAAAACAATTTCTCTTTCAATTTATCTAATTTCATTTGGTCATCTTCAGCAGTGTGTTTATCAACCCATACACCTTAAAGCACTTAGTACTTGAGAGACAGGTGAAAAAAATTAGGGAAATATTTCTCTCTGTAGGCTTACTGTTTTTTTTTTATATATTTATTCAATGGTTAAAGTCACATAATTACAATATGCACTTAAGTTATGTGACTAGTTTATATGTATTACTTTAATTTCAACTACATGTATCACTGCTGTGTACTTTGAACATGGCATCTATAATTTCATCTATAATTTTATTTAATGTCTTTTTGTTGAATGAATATGTACAATATACTAAGTATATTGTGTGTGTATGTATATATATATATATATATATATATATATATATATATATATATATATGTGTGTGTGTGTTTTGTTGCATATAGTATATATTTCCTAAAGATAATTATCAATAATCAATTATAATGTGTTCTGGTAAGATATTAGGTTGGCCAGAAAGTCCCGACTTGCTTAGGAAGCAGAGAGAAAACCACAAAATTTTATGGAGCAACATCAATATTTATTCTTCAAAATAAAGTCCAGCATTCTCAACGATCTTCTGTCAGCAATCAGCCAGCATTTGAATCTCTCCCAGATACCAGTCCACTGGCTTTGAATTAAAAATCTGCAAACAAGCTTCCTTCACTTAATCAAAAGTATTGAATCACTGATCATGGATGAAGTGTGTCATTGAGTGGAATAGGCCATAGTTACTCAGAACAGCATCTGGACTAAATGGTGGATGTGGAAGAATCTCAACACCATCAATATGTTTGAACTTCTCCTTAGTCAACCTGGCAGTGGTCTTGCATTGTCCTGTTGAAACAAACTCATTTCTCTCAGTTGGGGCCTACACAAAGAGAATAAACTGCATAGAAGCAACAAACAACTGCAGTGTACAGAGGGTGGTAGTCAAATGTATCAGGACTTTATGGCCAACCTAGTAGATGTGCATTTCCTACCAGCATTTCAAGTTCAAACCCAGATGACAGTCACAATCCTAAGTGTTAATTTTCTAAACCAGCAAATTCTTCTCATTTGCTAAATATGAGTGAGAACAGTTTATGTTCACTTTATACTAATGCTTTTAGAAAAACATCTTTTTTTTTTCTACCCTACAATAATGGATAAATAGTTGGGTAAATATAGCTCTCTAGCTTTGGTTGATAATCAGTCAAAACCAGATGTAGAATCATGGGTAAAATTAGCAAAAACTAATGACTGGATCTTATGGAATTTAAAGGTTGCATGTTGGGTGTATTTTAGGTGTGTGCATGTTCATATGTAAACAAAGAAGAAGCAACAAAAACTTAGTTTCTACTACAGATCGTTTATTTTTTTTCTGTATAAACACTAGTGAAACAAAGTTGGTAATTTCTCTTCAGTATGTCCATTTTCATTTTGGTCTAGAATTTAGGATAAATAAGGATAAGCATCATTATGATGGTCGAGCACAAGTCAGCCTTACACAGAGTTGGAACGACTAAAGAAAAGTTTGTACTTACTTCTTCATTGGAGGGTCAGCATGGTTATAATGGTTGAGCACAAGTCAGTATTGTGCTGAGTTGGAATGACCAAAGAAAAGGTTGATTTACTTCATAAGTGGAAGTTTTGGAAGATGTATGTAAATGCCATTCATTGTAAAGTGGAAAGAGGGTTCAGTAGTTAGTGGATCAGGGCAATGAATGTGCCCCATTGGGGATGTCCTTTTTCACATCCTGCTACATGTTGAAGCAAGTGGGAGAAGAGAAATAAGAAGAAAATGTTTGTCTTTTTATAAACTTAACACCACCTAACGGCATTTGACAAAGCCATGTGGGGTAAAACAATTTCCAGTTCTTTTATTGCTAGCATCTTGGGAAAATGTATTTCTTTTTTTTATTCATTATTAATATTTTATTTATTGATTTTTATTTTGTTTTTCCACAAGCTTGCAATTCCACACTATAAAAACTATAAATATGATTTGAAGGACTCATCAGGATTTAATGAGAAAAGATGACTTTTTTTGTGTGTGTCAATTCTAAATTCTTTTTTTTTCTTTCTCTTTACAGAAACAAATGAGTGGCTTTTATATATTTAGCTGCTCAATTTGGGCATTTCTTCATTTTGCTAAGGCTGAAGTGGATTCTGGTAAGTAAAAAAAAAAAAAAAAAATTACCTACTAATATTTATTGTTATATCAGTGACACCCCTTTCCACAGATTTTGATGATTCATAATATATATATATATATATATATATATATATATATATATATATATGAACTTTTGGTTATTTTTTTTAGAGTTGCTTTTTGGTTAAAATTTTTAACTTTTCATTATGGAAAAAGAAAAAAGTTTTATATAATTTGTAGACATTTAACCTATTATTGGCAGACTATCTTATTGCTCCATTTTCAATTTTGATTAAGTATATTGTCATACTTGTTACACTTGTCTTACTGGTTAGTATAAAAATATCAGCATGTAAATAATTTAAAATTGTTGTTATTATAGCCTCAACTTGAAATTGATTTTAGAATGTAAGTTAGTGCTCCACCCTGATGAGCAAGTATTCAGCTCATGGTTAGTTAGTGATACATTGTACCTGTTACCTAAAATTTAGTTCACCAAGTGGTGGAAAAAATCATATAAAAAACAATGTGATTTTCACTTTTTTTTTTTTTTTTTTTCCAATATTTTCTCCACATCTAATCAGATAATGTTCTCATTAGATAGCAATCATTTTGAATCATTTGATTTTACAAAGTAAAAACCATACATAAAATGTATCTCCCTATAATTCAGAAAATATCTCTTTGTCTGTCATTACTGCAAGGATGGCTAAACTTATGACCACCAAATTTTCTATGATTAATAATGGAAACCTGGAGCATTGTTTTAGCAATTTTTTTTTAAATTCCAAAACTTTCTTGGGTTTTAATAAGTTTTTTGATTTGCAATGTAATATAATCCTAAACCGTCCACTTATTTTGTATCCATCAGATTAACATAACTAAATATTTATCTTTTTAATTAATCATATAAAGCAAACATTTATCTGAAAATTCCTTAGCAAGAAATTCTTTTTCTTGTACCTTTTTGCCCAATCACCAAGAAATCAAAAATTAAAAAAATGACATTGTGTTTCTATTTGTAGTTTGTCTCACTGATACACAGAAACGATAGAGAAAAAAACTTCCTCTTCTCTCGCTGACACCGTTTGCAAAGGAAAAGCAAAATCTGCCCACCCATCATTCTTTCTGGCTTTTATACAACCACCACTCATCCATAATGCATTGGCATTTATCATCTTCAGTGTTCTGTCACTCAGTTGTCCCATCTTATCTCCTCTGCCTGTCTTTTTATATAGCTGCATGTGACCTTCAACCATCCAGCCACAGGATAATAGCCCACCAGCTTCCCAAATGTCAAAAACTATTCTCATTTACTCATCTTATCCGTCACAGTTGGAATTTCATTACCGCTTTGGAACACCAACTCCCCAGTTGCTTTATCCTTCTGCAACTTTAACCCAAATGCTGCCCCCCCATCAAGTGACTCTGCAGGTTTTGATATTAATCCATATTTTTTGAGGTGGCATCTTACTTTTTCTGTATGTACAATCATCTCATTCACTAGGATGTCATTGATATAGGAATTTGTGACATGCCCTATTGTCTCCTCCTGCTTCAGTACAGTCTTGAGCACTGCCACCATGATTTTTGGCATGATGTTCAATCCAAACCCCAACTAGAGTAAGGCAACAGGTGACCCCCTTGTACCTTACAAGTTGGTAACGCCACAGCTTCTCCGCTACATGAATCTGCAGGCATGCTGATTTCAGATCAAACAATTGTAACAGCACCTATCGTCTGTCTCCACTCTTGCATAGTTTCTCCACATAGATCAATATCATCACTTCTCATGTGGGATGATATGTATGTATTCAACTGCCTAAAGTCTAGTACTGGTCTAATTTTATGTTTGGTTAGTTGGTTGGTTAATCAATGGCAATATTCCACTGTGGACTTCTTCCTTCAAAGGTACCAGGGTACCTTCCTCAACCCATCTGTCCCTTTTCAAACTCCACTCTCTTCTCTTCTGGCATGGAATTCTCATATAAGCTCATCCTGTTCTTTAATATTGCTTGTCTAGCACCATTCAGTGTTCCACTTTTCGCCATCAAATCAGGCACAAAAATCCCTATTCTGAATTTCTAGTCCAGTCTGACCACCACCTTGCGGTATCAGAGCTGCTGCATTTGGCATCCCACCAAATTTAACTCACTTTTGATTAATGGTGACTCCTCCCAGCTTATCAATCACGTCCATACCAATGACGATGTCAATGCCATCGACAATGTGCTCCAAAACCAGCACCCTTATCTTGAACTGCATTTTTTCTACCAACAGTGTCAAAACATGCAACCTCACTTCCATCAACTGCTTTGATAAGCGTTCCTCCATTCAAACTTCTCACCAACTAGGGAGTCACCAGGGTCATAGTGCATCCAGCTTGCTTTCCTTCCCTATGCTACAATTGGTAAGGTTTGATGTCACGCCACTGTTGATATATTGGGGTAGCTACTGGCACAGTAACTCCCCTTGTAAATTTCCCTGGGGAAGAAATCTGATAATCCTCACATCCATAGTACATCACAGCAGGCTTTGGTCATTCCTCACAATCTTTTATCATATGCAGCCCACAGCTCCAAAAATATTGTCCACTAAATCTTCCGTTCCTGGTTCTTTATCAGTCGGGCTTTGTGCCACAGCTCCTATTGCAAGGAATTTTCCTTCTCTGTTCACGGTTAGTACCCTAGCAGCAGTTATCAGTTTACTCATCTCTTTAGTTTCTACCTGGAGCAGCTGCTGAAGTGCGATCGATATTGGGTCTGGGAATCTGTGCACAAATGCCAGCTTTACCATCCTCTCTGCACTCCTTTGCACAAATCCTGCTAATCCTGTCAATCACCTTATGTTGTTAGCATATAAACATCAATGGATTTGCCAGTCCATTTGGATTTTATCAATTTTCCATAAAAGCCTTGAGTAGCATTGACTCAATCATCTCGGCATCTGTCATATCAATCTCATTCATCTCCATATAGAGAGCCAATGCATCACCCACAAAGGTACAGCAGAATTAGACTCACCAAGTCAGTGATATGTTGAAACCGAGTAACCAATTACACTTTTGTGATCCATTCCACTATGTCTCCCTGTCCATCAAAAGGTCTAATCGTGTCACTGACCACATGCATTCTCTCCCACTTTCCATCTATGGTAAAATGCCAAAATAGTTTGTCTCACTGATACGCAGAAATGATAGAGAAAAAAAACTCTTCCTCTTCCTCTCCACTGTCCTTCACTCACCGACACTGTTTGCAAAGGAAAAGCAAAATCTGCCCACCCATCATTCTTTCTGGCTTTTATACAACCACCACTCACCCATAATGCATTGGCACTTTCCTATATAAGTGTTATTTCCATTTTCCTAGCTTTTCTGCTTCCATCGTTGGTAAGTTTTAACTTTTTTTTTTTTTTACTCATTTCTTTACCACAGTAGTACAAGAAAATGGCTTCCAGGAAGCCATAAATTCTGGACAACATTAACTTGTAATTATTTACGTTATTTACATGTGGATTATTGTCCTCATCTGTGTTATTGTTATCTCAATGTTTTGGCCATTGTTCTTTCTGTCCTTCATTAGGTGCAACAAAAGCTAAATGGATTAAAGCATTACTTTGGGAAGTTGGTGACACAGTAATTGTGAAATCAACCCCTACTGAGCTGGGCAGTGTGTACTTAAACTCAATGGAAACAGGGTTAGCAATAACTGAACAGTGCTAAATAAGAACTAGATGAGATGTCCCTAGCAATAACTGAACAGTGCTAAATAAGAACTAGGTGAGATGTCCCCAACTGGACAGTAGAACGAGAACAAGGGGAGCAATAACTGAACAGTGCTAAATAAGAACTAGGGTGAGATGTCCCCAAGAACAGTAGAACGAGAACAAGGGAGCAATAACTGAACAGATAAATAAGAACTAGGTGATGGACAGACATAGACAGTAGAACAAGGGGGAGCAATAACTGAACAGTGCTAAATAAGAACTAGGTGAGATGTCCCCAGACATGGACAGTAGAAGAACAAGAAATAACTGAACAGTGCTAAATAAGAACTGGTGAGATGTCCCCAAGGAGGAACAAGGGGAGCAATAACTGAACAGTGCTAAATAAGAACTAGGTGAGATGTCCCCAGACATGGACAGTGAACAGAACAAGGGGGAGCAATAAAACAGTAAAAAGAACTAGGTGAGATGTCCCCAGACATGGACAGTAGAACGAGAACAAGGGAGAGCAATAACTGAACAGTGCTAAATAAGAACTAGAAGTGAGATGTCCCCAGATATGGACAGTAGAACAAGAACAAGACAAGGGGAGCAATAACTGAACAGTGCTAAATAAGAACTAGGTGAGATGTCCCCAGATATGGACAGTAGAACAAGAACAAGGGGAATAATAACAGAAATAAGAATTAGTGAGATGTCCCCAGACATGGAATAAACAAGAACTAATAACTGAACAGTGAAATGAACCCCCAGATATGGACAGTAGAACAAGAACAAGGGGAGCAATAACTGAACAGTGCTAAATAAGAACTAGATGAGATGTCCCCAGATATGGGACAGTAGAACAAGAACAAGGGGAGCAATAACTGAACAGTGCTAAATAAGAACTAGATGAGATGTCCCCAGATATGGACAGTAGAACAAGAACAAGGGGAGCAATAACTGAACAGTGCTAAATAAGAACTAGATGAGATGTCACCAGACATGGACAGTAGAACAAGAACAAGGGAGCAATAACTGAGCAGTGCTAAATAAGAACTAGATGAGATGTCCCCAGATATGGACAGTAGAACAAGAACAAGGGGAGCAATAACTGAACAGTGCTAAATAAGAACTAGGATGAGATGTCCCCAGATATGGACAGTAGAACAAGAACAAGGGGAGCAATAACTGAGCAGTGCTAAATAAGAACTAGATGAGATGTCCCCAGATATGGACAGTAGAACAAGAACAAGGGGGAGCAATAACTGAGCAGTGCTAAATAAGAACTAGGTGAGATGTCCCCAGATATGGA